ACTGATTAGAAAGAAACTACGACAAAAATGTTGTGTAAAACTAGTGCCTATGTCAATTTTGAACATAACTCGGCAAGAAATGATCACGGACTGAGAATTTGTTTGGAATTTGTTGCAAACCTTCAATCACACTTCATGAATTGGTAGTTTTGCATCGGGATGATTAAGCTGGTGAATATTTCAACTCAGTTCACGTTTTTTGGAGCTAGTGTTTATTTAGACAGGAAATTGATCGTTCCACTCGCGTTTTGCTAACCTAAACTGGCACTTCAAATCAAATTGTACTTTTTTCTTCAATTTAATGCAAAAAGACTGATTGAAAGAAACTAGATATGAAGGTAACCAAGATTGTAGCAACGAAACAACTTGTCTCTGAAAACTGTTTGAAACTACAGAAATAATGAAAACAGGACTGCTCGTACTCGTATCAGAACGAAACTATTAATGTTCCTACTGTCCCTTGATTGGTCTCGGATAGTTTTCGGTAAAGTAATTATTATCAAAACTATGAATTTTAGGCAATGAGTTAATCAAACCAATTAGCTGCCTCAATTCATTTTGGAACGATATTGTAGTGCGGGATAAAAAACAAGCAGTTTTAGACGAATTCTTAGCAGGTTACTATAACGGTGTGCACACTCGGCTGGCCCCATGCATATCAACAGAATGATCCCCCAAGGGCCCAGAGTTTTGTTAAAAAAAAGTTTGAATTAAAAAACCACGCCGAGCATAAATATATTCCTCACTTTGTTCGAAAGTCGGAATGATCAGTTTCGGAAAATTGAGAGACTAGTAGAGCTTGTACACAATCAGTACCTTTTTGTCCCTGCCAAATGTTCCTTAGCAAGTATCAGACACGTAAAAATTCCGCCCAATCTAAATTTTATCTTTCAATTGGTAGGTTTGTTTCGCTTGTACAGCTTCCTTTGGATGATTTGATATTTTCTTAAAATTAAGGTGACACTGCGTGCTTACGTCATTTTGCGAAAAAACTTGACAATAGTTTGCTCTACAATTGATTACGTTTGCGATTAGCAAGCGTTTTCAAATCGAAATATAATTTTTTTTCTAGTTAGCAACTAGTTTAAAAAAATCAGTTGAATAAACTATGCCGACATTCTCAATTTCATGAAAAATCAAATTTAACTACCGGGTACTTATCAGACTTTAGCTCGTTTTCTTTTTCCCCCATCTGCTAATTTGTATAATTAAAAAGCTGTCCGCATTGTCCAATTGTCATGAAAATTGACATGCAGACTAATTAGGCTATGACAAACATTTTTGATTCTCATAATCAACATTGTAAGACAGCTCATTAAACCATAAAATTGATGTTAGTGCGAGGTGGGGGGGGGGGAGAGAAAAGGAGCCCAGATTTTTTCTACTTATATAGTTGAACTATATTTGTCACAATCTGGGACTAAAAACCTAATTTTGATTTCTTTGATATGACAAGCAGTTCAATTTTCTTTGCATTAAGTGCTAGTCCTAAATAGCCGAACACATCTTTTAATTTTGATTTCTTTGATATGACAAGCAGTTCAATTTTCTTTGCATTAAGTGCTAGTCCTAAATAGCCGAACACATCTTTTAACCCACTGGTAACTTTTTCGAAAATCACCTTTGCGGGCCTAAGAGATCGATGAAAGGCTAAAACGAAAAAATCAATAACGAACAGAAGAGGTCCCAGTACGGTGCCTGCTGGCACACCTCTCTTCATTTTTCGCCTGAACGTTTTGTCATCCTCACATATCGCTATGTCCGTTCTGTCAGTCAAAAACTGTGAAATCATATAAGAACTTTACCCCTTACATCCAACGTGTTTCTCAAAATTGACAATAGAAAACTGTGCGAATTCAACGGACAACTATTCTCGAGATAATTTGTATACGGTTTAGCTACATAAGTCTCATAATTCTAGAAATTTCTGTGAATTATTTTTTTGCAATTAACTGAAGTTATCGAGTTTCAGTGATGCTTCAACAAAAACGTTTAATTGCTAATCTTCATGGGTCAAACACTTCAACCAATTATCTGCAAAAAAAGGAAAAACTGTTTTGAAAGTTTTCAAGTCAGTAAAAATATCTGCCGCTGTCGAGATATTTTCGAATAGCAAGTCCAATTGATCACGTTTAGTTTGAGGAAACTCACAAAAAACTGTACGTACAAAAACCGCATGTTTCTGTGGCAGATACCTTTTTGTGCAAACAAAAATGTTCGAAGTCTTCCGTTAAAGGAAAATTTTGATCACAATTTATGATACGAGAATGAAAACATGAAAATACGGCGGTGAAAATTTTGTGATCAACCTTGACATCTGTTTTGTCAACTTAGACCAAACGTTTTCGGAGTGCGCTTAGTTGCTCAAGTTCAAAATAATCCATTCCTCATCTGATGTCTCTCCTGTGTGCCAATTCCAAGCCCTTGACGCCATTCTACTGAAAAGCTTATGACTCTTCTCAACAAGTTAAAAGCTTTCTTCTGCAGTTTAAACGGCCGAATTAAACTTATCACAGGAGACAATGTTCAATACAACTACTTGGTCAAAGATTCATGAATTGGTTGAACTAGTTTATTGATCGGTTTACTTAGTTACTGTGCAGATCCTCATGCTACTCTGCTACTTCAGATCAAACATCCTCCAAAGCCAGAGATAAAAACAAATATTCAACAGTCCACTGCCGTAAGCCAACTACTACTAGGATTTATGAATTCTTTTCATAAATTTTAATTTTTCTAAATTTGATTTCAACAGACTTTAAATACTGAAGCAAAATAACATTCGACGTAAAAGCAAATTACCGACGTTTAATAAGTCTTTTCATCCGGCACCACAAATAATAATCGGATTGGATTGAGTGATATATCATAAAGCCCTTTTAGTCGTGATTCCAACAACATTAAGAGCTTTTGAAATTTTTTTCAGTGTCGAGAAAAACCGGTTTTCAAATTTTTGATTTTTAGTCTAATTTTGAGCAAATAAGGTGACCGTATATGCTTACAATAGCTTTTTTCAGCTTAGTTTCAGCTGTGAAAACATATTTTTATTCAATTGAAAGTAATTTTTGGATTTTTTAGCGCAGTTTTGGGAATCAAAAACTTGAAAATGCAGAAAATTTTTTTTACGTGTTTCTAGTAATTTTTCTTCAAAAACTGTTTTCAAATTTACCTATTTTACTACGAGTCTCAAATATGCCTAAATTCTATTTTCTCGTTCAGATTTTTTTATCACAGTATGCAGAAAAACGACACCAATTTGTAAAAAAAAAATCTTTTGTTTTGTATTTTATTTTGACTGTGGTCAGAACATTCTGTGCTACTTGCAGAGTAACCGGCTATCCTTGTTTTTAACAATTAGCCTTTATTTCCAATAAATTAAAAAGAAAAACATTATTAAACTAAAGAACTTTATTTCATCTATTTTTAGAGAGCGTGTAATATCTTGTAAATTTACTCAGGAAAAGGTTGCTAAAGCATGATGAAAGATTGTTGATGCATTGATCGAAGCATGCTGAATTTCAAAGGCAGCTGTTCAACAAAAAAATGTCAGTGAAGTTAAAGTTGAAATCAAAAGTCAAGAAAAGTACGCGTTTAACTTCATGGCAAAAGGCAGCCTAGTTGACTTTTAAGTTAATTTTCCTGATTTACACGATGATGATTGAAATAATCCGGACATTACACTTAAATTTAAAACACCCTTATCTCAACTTGAGTCGGTTTAAGAAGAAATTAAGAAGCCAAAATATGCTTAGATTTTTAGCAAAATTAATATGGCCCAAATTGCGTAGAAATTCGGAAATTTCCAGAAATTAGAATTTCGGGCTCACAATTTTACGCAAAAAATGGATTATTTCTTTAGTCAACCAAAAACAGCGCCAGAACGATCAATTCAATTATATCAAGGTGAGATTTTTGTTTCGACCAACAATTTTTAGAAGGGTATAATCTCTAAAACACTGCATAAAATAATTTTTTTTGTTTGATAGACAAAAAAGTCTTTTTTTAACTATACAAATTACCAATATTTTAAAACAATTTTGAGTCATTTCGCCCAATTTTTTTTGAAAACAATACCACCCTTCTTAACGTTTGTAAGAGGCTCAATTTGATATAATTTTATTTTTGATTGACTTAGTACTTCTAGCGTTTTTTTTTACTAAAAGAAACTGATCGATTTCTGGGGTAACATTTTGGGCTCGAATTTTGCAAAACAAAATATCCCAGATAAATTCTGCTGAAATCTAAGCAAGTTTAGTCTTCATTTTTTTTAAATCTTAAGTCAACTCAAATTGAGAAAAACTTGTTTTAAATTTCTAGTTCGAGCTCTGTCCGGATAATTCAAATCAATTTTTTAACATCAGAAACGTTGAATTAGAATGAAAACAAAACTGCTCGTTGTTTTCAATTCAAAAAATGAAAAAATTCTTATTTGTTAAAATTTTTTTTGAAAATCATCCTCCTTTGGCTAGGTTAAGTACAACGTGATATATTTTGTACATATCGAAGTATTTAAATGACCAAAAAGCTTGCCTCAAATTTTTGGAAAATTTGAGAGACAGATTAACGGATTCAATTTCTGCTTACGCGTGGATAGCATGAACTATAGCGCCCGTTAATTATCCCAATATAGCAATTTTGAGCCCATATAACTTTACGAACTCTAATTGAATACCTTTAAAATTGAGCTCAGGGCAATTATAAAATTCAGATGATGTATAAAATTCAGTCAAAAATTTGCTAGTTAAAACGCTGAAACTTGGCAGAAAAAAAATCACCCCGAGGACGAATATTCCGTCACTTTCTTCGAAAGTTGGAATAAAAAGTCTAAACACGAGAGCCACATTTTGTTTTGGCAATTTTTTCGTCTTCCAACAATCACGTGCGAACGTTTCTGATTTTGTTCTCATGATTCGGAAATTTGGTTAGTCGAAGTAAAATCAGCCATTTTAAAAAGGAATCGGAAAAACATGACACATGCCATAAAAAACAAACACGTCGTCTTGAATACCTTGGGTAAATTTTCTATTCCACTTGTTGGGTTTGAACTCATTCTCAAACAATTTATCAAGTATTTGATCGCTATATATAAATAAACTGTATACAATACATATATCTCAAACAATATGCGCACATTGAACATTCTTCAGTTTTATTCGGGATTTCAGCTCGTGATCAAATCGCAACCCACGTATTAATGCTGAAACAAAACATGTGATCAGCTGTGTCACCTAGCTGCTCTTCTCGGCCTCCTGCATCTGCATGATGAGGTTCTCGTGTAGCTCCGGCTCCACACTCGTGCACCATTCGACCAGCATCTGGATCACGTTTTCCTTGTTTGCCTCGGCTAGTCGGTCCACTTCGACCAGAGCAATTTTGGTCTCGTCTTCGCCTGCCGCCAGGTCGTCCGCGTGCTTGGCTTTGAACGCATCATCCGCAGCTTTAACCTTAAAAAATGGAGCTTAAAACTATGATTTCAATAAGAATTTCTTAGTTCATTTATTGGCGACCTTGGGACAGCAAAAACATAAATGATTCGATTAATGAAACACTGAGTTGTTATGAGCAATAATCAAGGTTGCTCGTTTCAGGGCGAAGACTGAATATTGCGATTTGCTAAATCTTTTCAATTTTGACTCAAATATGAGTTTCAAACTACTGTTGTTATGACGCTTTTGATATTTGAAAAAACGCAACTGTAATTTGTAACGGTGAGAAATAAATTCTTCTTCTTCTTTGTGGCTTGTAAATTTTCAATGAGTTGTATTTTATGATTTCTCTGAAGAATTAGATTATTTGTCCACAAGTTGTAGACAAGAATGCTCGTATCAGGGCAAAGCCCTGATCGTTCCGAGTACCCATTAACTGGTCTCTTTTTTAAATAATCTCTTTAACTATCCCCCTTTCGCAGAAGGGGGATTCAGGACTAGATACAATTTCACATATGCTTAACTGTTGAACTAGTTCCTTATAGGGGGGGGGCATTTTGTTACTAAGTACAAAATGTAGAAAAAAATCCGTTTTTGGCTAATGAAATATTGTATAAGTATAATATCAAATTTTAAGCGTTAACAAGACTGCTTGTATCATGGCGAAGCCCTGAATGATCCGACTGCCTTTATAGGTCTATAGATAAGGTTTTTTTCAAAACAACTTGTCTGAAACAACTCTCTGAAACAACTTGTCTGACAATTGATAGTTGGCTTTAGTAATTTCTTAAAGATGAGTTAATTCTTAGTTGGCTCGGAGTTTTTTTCAATTCAATTTACTTTTTAGGGCACCTTGGAGTGCGTTCATTACAAAGACAACCGCGTATTAACACTCGTCAGTAAGTAGACAAATTTTATATTAACCAACCAGAATCGAGATGCAAAAGCAAACGTACGAAATAAATAAATATTTTTCGCATCTGGATTCCGACGGGCTTTTATAGTAGTATTCTACGACTTAATACCAGCCAATTTAACACCCTACACTTTAATACATAGTCTTTTCACTAAAAAACAATTTGAATCTACATCAATTTAATTGGTAATTTATAACTTAACACCATAATTAAGGCTGTATGAACTCCTTATTTTGAATCATATCACACTAAATATTAGTTTTCCAATTAACGCACGCGTCGCATTGAAAAATTGGTTTATCTTAATTGTACATGCTCGATTGAGGCTCTCCAATTAAAATACTTATCAACAAGTTCGTAATTTAATATCAATTGGATTTTTCACTAAACCATTATGACTACTAAACAAAAACCTGCTTGCGCTAACTCTTAACAATTTGACACAATATTACTTAAAAATCATAAATTCTGACAGTCGTTTTATGCTGTACTCAAGTGATCAACAAACGCCAAACACAAATTATGACTGAGTCTTCTTTCGAATCCACAGTTTCATCTAATAACAAACCAATTGTTATAGCGTCCGGCCACTAGTTTTTTTCAAGCATGAAAAAGTTCAATGAGAACTGGATTTGCTCAAAACAACAAAAAAAAACACATAAATGTTGAGCAGCTGTCATTACAGAAAATAACGAATTGATCGAGACGCGTGGAGACAATAACCGTGACATTTCAGCGGGAAAATCAGATGCCCGAAATGTCATCAAGTAATTAAAAGCTCTCAGAGAGCTATTTAAACCGACTGTCGCAATGGCCAGTGCCATTAAGCCAATAATATATGCTTTAGCCACTCATTTTGCCCTCCCAACTTCAGACAAACTCATTCGAACTGCTGCGCGCTCACGTAAGCCGCTAGATGTATACATGCACCACCTATCCCCATTGCGCGAAACTTCAAGGTTCCTGAAAAACTTGGAAGTTTTGTCTAGTATGACAGTGGCTCTGACGTAAAAGGTTTGTTAGTTGTTGAGCAAGCTGCTTTTCAGTCCTTCCAAAAAAAAATTCCCTTGAGCGCATTTATTGGGTTGTTTTTTTCCATCTCCCATAGAATTACATGAAAAAAATGAATTGGGTCTGATAATGACCTACAAACGAGTCATCCTTTAGTGCTGGCCTTAAACAAGCTGTTTTCACTTGCATTCGAAAAAACAAAAAAGATTTGCGAGGTCTATGATATGATCGTTCATGAAATTCAGAATGCATGTGACAGAAAAAATTAAGAAACTAAAAAAAAACCGGCGAGTTGTGTCTGTATTTTGGCTCTACTTATATAAAAAGCATGGTGATACACCATAAAAACTTACTCCCACCCTCCCTTCGGAACCAGCGAGATGCGGCTGAGAGTGGGACTTCTAGAACAACAAATAATGTCGAAGGATGGCACTTCGGCATCCAATATTATTTCACGGAGCCGGCCCAAATATGTGGAACGTAATGGGCTGCCTGCGAAAAGACGACTAAGTGCATAAACTAACTTTTTCGATTCATCGAGTGGCTGTGAACTCCCAAAGTAAAAAAGTACCGTGTATTAAATGAATGAGTACAAAAACAACGTCTGTTTACGAAGACAAAATTAAACTGTACTTTAATCAGAGCATTATCTAGTTTATATTGAACCAGTATAAAATTTGTCTTTTTTTGTTTATTCATTCGTATCCCTAAAAATCAAATTTAAACCGTAATAGAACTTTTGTCCTTGTTTTTGGGATGCTAGTTTGGTAGTTGGGCCTGGCAACCGTTTAGCTATGTGTTGAAGCGCCAACCATTCAAAAAAAAAGCTGAACAAAGCAATGGTGTTATAAAATTAAGTTCGAGAAGGATTCTGAAGATGAGTGATTATTAGTCATTTGGCATTGGTGAATTTTTTTTTATTTAAAAAACGTTTAATGAAATCGGAGCCTTGAAACTTGTTGAACGATTGTTCATTTTTGGTTCCAGTCATTTTCCAATCAATTTTATTGGCAAGGTTAGTTTTATTCAAAACTTACGCAAATTAAGTAGCTTAGAATGATTTGTCTTTACATGGCCAAAAAGTTTTTGCTTTATTCTTTGATGCTTACCAAATTCCCCTTTGAAGTAAATTCCTTTTTCATTTTCGTTTAAAATGGTTTTAAGTTGTAGTTTTAAAATGTAGTGGTGTTAAAATGGCAAGGCAACAAAAAGTTGGGAGTGAAATTGTATGCTGTCAAGTTTTTTAGTGTTAAAAAGATGGGAACCAGCATAGTGTTTCCTTACTTACCGAGGGGTATGAATACACGGTTGTCTACTTCCTACTACGTAACAGGGATTTTTATATGATGACCTGGCTATGATCATCTGTTTTCCAATCAACAGTTTTGCTTGAAAATTTACGCGCTTTGTGCAGTTAATGAAAAAAAGGATCTACCAAACAATCCCCGCCCTATTAATAAATACATTAAATCAGCACAGAGCTTTCTACTGCGAACTCTTTTTTTTGCTGCATTCTGATTGGTCGAAAAATCGACTGTTTTAATCTACTTAAAATCCCCCTTTGTTAGGAGGGTCGAGATTATTGAAAAGATCCGATTTTTTAGCACCCAGCACACTTCTATGAGTGCTAAAAAGTTTCGATTGAATAGTTCGCCAAACAACGTTCGCCTCTGAATAGTTCGCCAAACAACGCCTTGAAAACTAAATTTTCTTGTTTTTTTTTTATTCTGCTAGATCTTTTTAGATAGTTTCATCATTATTTGCCAAAACCTCAGTGATGAACCTCAAGTAGTTACAGAGAAAGCGACAGATACGCTCAGAAAATTTTCATTCAATCCAATGGTTGAAAACTAAAAATTGCATATTTTTGGTCCTGTGATTGTTTATCTAAAGTTGCAAACATTCAGTCAAAGATAAAAATTTGGGGTCGATTGGAGCCGTCTTTTGTCGACGTTGAAAAATTAGGTCTAAGCGATCAATTTTCAGGCTCTAAGCGAAGCGCTAGAATACTTTTGTGAGAATGGCTTTATTGATAGATTTATACGGAACATTTAGTGTTTTTGGACGCACGCGCTCCGCGGTTTTAAATTTTTATACTTCGGCTCCAAAGACACCGTCAGAAACATTTCAACGGGTGTCAAACAAACATTTATGTAATGAAATACTTCTAACTCGAAATGGGTATGTGGCAATCAGAACTGAAGGATTCAAAATGGATAGATACATACAAGAGCTACGTTTTTTGTTCCGACTTTCTTAATACTTAATATGGCGTGTCGGGGGATATTCGTCTAAAAATTCAAATTTAAAAAAAAAAAATTTCATTTTGTTTCATTTCATTTAATGTTTTATTGTTATTACTGCTCCATAAACCTCAAAAGGCAGTTGGAACATTCAGGGCTTCGCCCTGATACAAGCAGTCTTATTTCTTTTTCAATGGCTTCGACTGACACAATGGAACCTGATCTAAACTACATTTTATGATTGGATAAATTAGATATTTTACCACTGTAAAGTATTTAATATTAACCAATCATGATCCATCTAACTAACAACCCACTTATTTGTAAGTGCTGAAATTACTTGTAATTTCAGCACCAGAGAGATTTGAATTTAACTTAGAAATTAGTTGCCTCTCCGAGAGAACTTCAGCAGCCGCAATAAACCAGTATACCCTAGATCTATTGAGCCTAGCAGAGACTAGTTAAACAACCTGAGACTAGAATAGTATAAGAGTAAGATTAGGATCGGTATTAGACTAAGAAGTTGCACGAATCTATCCGGCCGAAAATAAGATAGCGTGACGAGCAGACGGTGTACCCTATCCGAAATTACTCTATGAGTTAAGACCATCGGTTATAACTCATCTGGTGCGACCATAAGTCTCGAACAAGACCTTAATAGCTTAGAATTAACCAAAAATAGATTAGAATTTAGACAAAACATTTTTAAAATGTTACACGACGATAATTTAATCGAAATATCTCTACGACTCAATAGATCAAAGCCAATATTCCGAACGATAATAGAACTACCCGGAATTGGAAGAAGACCTCGAACCAGAGACGACATACGACAAAGTAGAAACTT